GCATCCTAAAGCCAGAAACTGAAGGTCGAAAACTCAACTTTATCATTTGCTCTACCTCCCCAGTGTACTTGTATCTAACAGCAACATCTGGCTTTTGCCAGTCTTTGTCGTGTGAAACTTCATACAGTGCACAGGGCACCTGCTACAAAAAAATATGCAAGACACTTTTTCATTCAGTGCATGAAAGATTTCAAGTCTGTGATTGTAACAGAAGTTCTCTCAGCTGTGATCACTAAAATTTAGTCTAAACCACATATGCATAACGGCTGTGGTCCCAAGTCCTGCAGTTTCGACGGCATATGGGCTCATGATGCAACCCATCGGATCTCAAGAGCTAAACAATGTTCGTGTGGACCTGTGAAAGCATTCAAAACACAAAATAAGTCAAAATGCATAGGGAAGCCCTGACTCCTGGAGCACTGGCTGAAGAGAGCTTATGAAAAAGCATCTAAAATAGTTTTGCAAAATGCAATGCATTGAAATTGCTTCAAGGAGCAGGAGCGTGCAATCGGCTGAGCGGTGATGCAAGGGCAGGCAAGGAACGGTCGGTTGACATCTTTGCTGCTGATTAGGACAGTCGGGCTGGGTTTGTGTGACAAGCGGAGCGCCACAGCTCTGCTCCCGTGTGGGACTGCCCCAGTTCCCTTTTCTCCACTTGCTGCACAGAAAAGGGGGCTCTGTGGACAGGGACCTGCTGGGGTGGAGGAACTCCTCCTCCTCCCTGCACAAGAGTATTTGTGAAGGGCTGAACTGTAGCTGAAATGGTACCCAAACGAGCCACATACAGAACTTCTGCCTCCTATATGCCTTGCCCATCCGGTCTCTCCTGAATGCAGCAGATGAATGCCTCATTATCAGATTCCTTTGCTTGCTTCCCGGTAGACTTAAATTACCCTGTTAAATAGGATAATAATAAACACTGGCCTTTAACTACAGCACATCCTTGTTCACTCAGCAGCCTCCCTCTAATCTGATAAAGGGTCTCTCAAAGGCTACAAGGAATCACGGGGTTGGTTGTTACACGGGTGCCTCTCCCCTGCTTTCTGCAATGCCGTTCCTACGACAGCACAAGCAGGGTCTGGCTCAGAAATCTGGTTTGGGTGACCCTGAGCCCTAAAAGAATTAACAGGTATCCAAACAGGTACCAAAGGAGATTCTGGTTCTGGCCCAAGACTTTTCTGCTGCATTTCAAAGGGCAAAGGTACCGCTAAAGGGACCTCTCTAAAGGTCCCTTCCAACCCCAAACATTCTATGATTCTATGAAAAGGAGCCCTGTGCCATCTGCTTGCTTCAGCACGCAGACTCCAAAACAAAAGCAGCCAAGGAAACCTTTCTGGTGAAGAAGAGAGATCTCGTTGGCAGTGTGCATACAGCCTTTGCATAGAGCTTGCTGTATTTGAGGTATTACAGAAGCTCTCTTTTAACAGCTATGCTGAAAAAAGTCATCTATCCACCCAGAATAAATTATATAAAGGGAGCAAGCTGGACTGGGAACAGAGAGGGCTGATCTGCCTAGACTTTGAATCCCCTTAGCCCCTAGAAGCTGAAGTGCCATTTATTTCAGTGTTACAGGATTTCCTGCCTCTTTTTTTTTTTTTTTTTAATTTAATTTAGTTTACCTAATCCCCCGGATTTCTCTTGTTGCAGAAAGAGGAAGAAGCCTTACAAAACAACAGGAGATAAACACAATGTCAAATTACTTTGCTGAGCTCTTTCACATAACCAAAAAGAACCGGAGAACTGCAAACTCTGGAAAGCGCACGGAGTTTCCTCCCGACAGAGCATATTCCAACCATCCTTCATCGAAACGCAGCCATTCCCGTGGTTCCCAATTAATAAAGCCAAGCTTCAACATTTGCACCAGCAGCAATATAGCTGTGGGAGTAAGATGGCTTGCTTCTAGTTTTCCAAAGTGAATAAAACTTGGCTTTCTACCTATCTTCCTCCTCTTCCTCCAGCTTCAGCTTTGCAGAGCTGGCAAGCAATACAAAAAAGGAGGAAAGCCATGAACTAGGCCGTCTGTCGTTGGAGGGTATGAAAGACAGTCTTAATAACAGCAGGAGAGAGAGAAGGAGCCTATGGTTATTTTTGACAGAATTGGGAGAGACTCAGATTGCAGCTTCATAAACAGCTCATCAGAGAAAAATTCTGTCCAAATTGGAGAAGCCCCTTTGGCCAAGCTAACAGACATACACAGCCCTTGTCTGGTAAGAGAGAAATCTTTCGAAAATCAAAATGCCATTCTTCAAAGAACAAAACCAAACTGCCTCCTCCCCCCCGCCCCCCCCGCCCCCACACGGTGGAGTAACACTAACTTGCATTTTTCTTGTTGCAATTCATGGATTGCAGAATATTCAGAGAAAGGTTCTGAGTGATAGCAGCCCGTGAATGTCCTGCAAGACGCACAGCCATGACCATGAAATGAAATGAAAAATGGACTTTTTCCAGCGCCACCTGACCACAAGGTCCCCTTGATGCACTGTTCTGCAAAACTGGAGGTGACGCAGAGAAGCAGTGGGCAGGAAAATGCCTGGCATTACCCCAGTCCACCCAGATCAAAGACGGTTGTTTCGTGGGGGTGTTTACACAGACATAGAGCACAGAATTCGACCACACCTCCAAACACAAAGTCAAACCTCAGCTTCAATGCCAATTAGATAGCGTAGGTGAAGTGTTCGTCATGTATCGTGATGACAGCAAGACTATCAGACATTTTTCAGGGCAATTTTTTTCTTTGTTCGTTTCTAACATTCTTAACAATCTCTCACACAGAATCCTCTGTGCTACTGGATTAAGAAAATAAAGATCATTCCTAGTCAAGGGATATCCACAAGAAACTCAAGAGGTTTCTATATCTAGCAACCTTGCTGGCAGACTCAGCCAAGAGGGAAGTCAGAGCCAGCATGGAGATACCCTCCTCCAAAGCTTCTAAGGGAAAAGCTGACCACCAGAGGAACTTGCTGCTGTGTCAGGGAAATATAAGTCTTAAGGTTCTTCTGTCTTTCTTGAGGATTAATTTCATTTACTCATTAAAACATATAATGCTTCAAGTGGCATAAAAGCATCAGCTCTGCATGGCTGAAAAGAGTCCAAGCGAAAAAAAAAAGAAAACAAACCACCAAACCAGCTATCTTTCAAAAAGAATATTGAATATGGGGACTACAAGCCTTCATAATTCGTCTACTATGATTTGCATGACCTGTGCTTAATCCTTATGCCTTCCAGCTGCCTGACAGCCAGGTACAGTATAATGGAAAACACGACAGAAATGGGAATCAATGGCTTGCTTCTGTCTAACCACAATATCATTCTCACTTCATTTACTGCTTAGTGGGAAGGCATTTCTGTGGCCCAGGAATCAGCTCTTTCTAAATGGACAAGTCTCAAAGTTCAGCATTTTACTGGTTTAAACTAAGTAGGAGTTTGCTCATCCATAGCAGCCCGGACTGCAGAAAATCCAGTTGCTTGACCTCTTAATGCTGTCTTCTATCCAGTATTACAAGAAAAAGACACTGGGTGAGGGCTCTGTGCTAACAGAGCAGGGGTCTACGTGCTGCAGTACATCAGTCCTGGGGATGGGAGGAGCTGGAAGCAGAACGACACTGAAACACTCCAAGCAAAAATACCTGCTGCTTCTGAAGGGAGAGAGCAATCTAGTATGGGGACTTGATTAGCAGCAAGGCATGGTGAGATGAACCCTGACATTGGGGTGACATCAATGATCCAAGTCTTTTCACCAGAAGTGATGTATGCAAGCAACCCAAACTGAACTAGTATCACTCAAAGCAGAAGACTGCTTAAATTGGGGCAGCAAAGAAGAGGCTACCGAGAGGATCCTCTGTCCCATACCAGGGCAAGGAGGGAATGCTGAGCCTTGGCAGGGCTTTGCACAAAAGCAGAGGACCCCCCGAAGCTGTGCTGTGTGCCTCACACAGCAGCAGTCACGAGCTCTCACTGAACTGGGAATCTCAGGCGAGTGCTGTTTTGCACTGTTAGTTAGCTGCTAGCCCACAAAATCATTTTAGGAGATTCTCCGTAGCATGTGCGCTTTAAAGGTTTTTAGCAGCAGCGGCAGGAGTGCAGTAAGAATGAACAACTATCGAGTAGCCTTGCAGCCAGGCACACATGCATATCTAGTTATGCCTCCAAGCTGCACTAATTATTTGTAACGCTAGCTAGCAACACTTTCATATTCCAAACCTGAAGAACTCAAAGGGTAAATGAAAGTATATGGCTATTTAAGGAGAAAAATGCATTGTATGAAACGGAATATTCACTTTCACTACATGTAAGCAAGCGTTATACTTACATAGCTATAAATACACAGAATTCTCACATGCCTAAATGTGCATAGATATACAGTCAAAGAAAGCAATACAGTTAAGGACAAATACTTTACATGTGTATGGAAAAAAATGCAGGAAGGAAAAACAACTCTTTCTGTTTGAAAAATACCAGTGCCAAAAAGCAATCCTTTTACATGACTACAGAGGAGAAATCAGATTTTGGAAAAAGGGGAGGGTGACTCTTTTTTAATTTTTACTGTCTCTAGAGCAATGATGTAGCAAGAGCCCACCACTATCCTTTTTCCCCTCCTGTATCCTGAAAATTATTCCCACCTGGGGTGTGAAGAGAGGAAACGAAAGGAAGTAGAAAATTATATTTTTCATGATCTAATCCTGGGAAAGTGACCACTCAGGTTTCCATGTCTCTTGGCAATAATAATTTAAACAGGGACAGCAATCTTTTGTTATTTTTTGCACAGTTGGAATGCGCACTTGCAGATAACAGACATTTAAACCTCAATTTAAGAAGAGGGAGAAGACGGTAATCGATAGGTATTCAGAAGTCCTCTCCTCTTAGGACTGCTGCATAGCTCAACAGAGTATGCTTCAAAACAGACAGCCTGGATGCAAACCTCTTTGGAAATCCTGAAGGCAAGCAAGATCATCAGAAAAAAAAAACTCAAACTGAAAGCAAAGAGAGCACAACTACTGTACCTTTACTTTGGGGAGGGTTCTGACTTCTGTCTCGGAGAACATTAATCTGGTAGACAGCTCCATAAGGCTCAAAAAGTTCTTTTAACTCTTTTTCCGACCATGAACGGGGAATCTGTCCAACAAACATCTTAATGGCATCTGGGTCTGGTTGGTCTGAATGATCCAAAGCTCCATTCATCTTGTTAGCTGTGCCGTTACTAGAAAGTGGAAAAGGAGATTAAAAAGAGAAGGCAAGTTAGGAGGCTACGCAGTTTTCATGTGCACTAGATGCAGAAGATGATGTCAATTGGCACAAAGCAGGAAAAAAAAAAATCAGTATTTAATTAATAGCATAAGTATTATGAACAAAACACAATGCGATTACATTTTTCATTGAGTCTGGTTTTCTCTGCAGGCTGCTGCTTAATGTCATTATATAAGAAGAGAGCGGCACAACGCAAACTGGGACTTTTGCATTTTAAAGCAGAGGATAGTTGCAAATAAGTGCAGATTTCTCTCCATGGCTGTTGTAAACAGAACGACAGTGAATTCTCACTAAACTGGCTACTGGCAGAACTAAGGCGGTGCGTGTGTGTGTGTGTATGTGTTTTGTAATAAAGTCACATGAAAGGAATATGAAACACTTGGCAATCTGTCAGATGACTAATGCAAGATGCCAGCGATGAATTTGCAGATTGTGTGAAGCATCCATGTGTGCATCAAATTAGTATGATATTGCCTAGAATGGAAAACACTCCAGCTATGCGGCTGGTTACTGCCGATTAGTTGCCTACGCTCTTTAAAAAGGAAAAGCAGTCTGGAGAGCTGCAGTTTAAAGCACATTGTTTATTGCACCCAGGCATAAAAAAAAAGCATAATTCAAAAAGAGAAGGCAGTGGCAAAATTGCCTACTTTGTTGTGAAAATTAAAATGCTGCTTCAAAAAGTTTTTTCTCCCTGCAAAACGACATTAAATTTTTGGAATTGTTCACACCCTATAAATTGTTACCCTATCTGATCTCCAGATGTACATCTAAGTTCAAAACAACCACACACTTTTGCAGGGGAAAAGGACGTAGTAACAAAAAATAACCTGCTCTGTGAGACAAATGACATGTTATTTTCTTCACAGAAAGGGTTGTCAGGCTCTGGAATGGGCTGCCCAGGGAGGTGGTCGAGTCCCCATCCCTGGAGGTATTTAAAAGAAGGCTAGATGAGGTGCTTAGGGACATGGTTTAGTGGTGGGATGGCAGGGTTAGGTTAAAGGTTGGACTCGATGATCTCAAAGGTCTTTTCCAACCAAAGTGATTCTATGATTCTATGATTCTGGTTTAGCAAGAGTTGTACTCTTATATGGAAAACAAATAATTTTAAATACTGAACAAAAGTAAAAATACAAAAACCCCCTCATGCTATTATTGATACCTAAGGACAATAATTTCAACTAATTACTTGGCTAGAGATTCCACAAGTGATGCTAATTTTTGGATGCTTCAGTTGCAAGAAAGCACACTAATGAGACGTGACTTTTAGAGCATTGCCCCCATCTTTCCACCGGGGAAAGGGGGGAAATGGCCTGTGTTCAGCAATGTTGCAAGTTGATCATCGCAGAATTCAGGCATTTCAGAGCCACCTGCCACTTTCAAAAAACTTGGCTTTAATTACAATTTCTCCGTTTGATGGTTGTTCAGGACAGAACACCCACACAAGGACTAGGAAGAGCTCAAAATTCTGCACAACCAGACCCAAAATCATATTTTACACGTGAAACAAAAATAACCTAAGAAAGGCAAGAAAAAACCAACCCTGTGTCATTCCCCTGTCTCACACCTTCAACCTGTGCAAAGACAAATGATTTAGTTTCATGTGTTTCATCTCCTTGAAAGCCTAATTCACCTGAACACATTAATATGCCCATAGTAACTTTGGCACCTTCCTTGCTCACTGCCGGAAGGAGAAGGTTACATTACAGGCACATTTTAAAGAAACAGCAAGAAGTTTGATCACCACTGTGTCTTCAACACAGATCAGCAGACACTGGGATTTATCATACTCATTTATTAGACAAAATTCCTATTGATTCTAGCGGCAGTCTTGCCCGAGTAAGAGACTGAAAGATTTGGTCCAACCTTTTATATCACATTTCATGCACAAATCCCCTCTCTTGTCTTACATATCTTCTTTTTTTTTTTTGAAGATGTTCTACAGGTCACAAGCACACCTGGAGAAATGACAATTTTTCCAGGCCTTAGAAACTGTATTTTCCATACATACATGACACTTAAGCCAAACCAAAGCAACCAATCAAAGAACCACCCCCCCCAAAATCTCCAAGAAACAGAAAAACCATTGCATGATACTGAAAAAACACTTTGTGATACTCTGCAGGAACAACTTTCAAGACTTTCATGGAGCAGTAGGCACCTACATGACATTTATACCTCTAGAAAATGACTCTGTTATTTCTTTCTAAATCCTCTTCCTTTACGTAAAACCCAGTCTGTTAAACAGCCTCCCTAGTAGGAGATGAAAAAATCCCTGACCCATAGCTTAAAATAATTAAGCAAAATGCTCACACACTATTTTGGACTTGCAAAGACAGGACAAGTTAGAAGCGTAGGTGTGCAGCCTTCGGCTTTGCCCTGGACTCAGACAACTATTTTCTTTCAGAAATTGGCCTTGCTTTTTGCTTCATTTATTCTCTATGTTGTTTACACTAAAAAAAAAATGAATTGCATTCATTTTTAAATTATGTTCTTCATCTATTCTCTCTGTTGGATCCCTTCTTTAAGAAATCCATACACAATTGCTACTTTAGCCCAGAATTACAGCAAAGGTCATATTTAATAAGGAGTAACAAGTTTTTTCCTTTGCTTTTTCCTTTACCCAAACCACCTTTACCACAATTTCCATTGCTAAGAAGCCAACTTTTAGGAAACCACCAAAGCAAACACTTTAACTGTTTTCTCAGGTTAATGACCCCATTAGCACCAAGTTCGTGCTTTGAGCTAAAAGTTTAGTCACGGGCCAAGATCTCTTCTAATTCCACAAAATGCATAAGCCCTTTCTTTGCATTGGTGGAACTGAAGTCGAATTACATTGATCATATTCCTTAAATGCTTCATTGGATAAAGATGGCTAAAGGCTCTGACTCCAGGCATGGGCCACCATACGCTGTGATGCAGAGCTCTGGGGGACAGGTTTTGTCATTCACTGCCTGAATTAACTTGGGCAAGTCGCTAAAACTTCTCCGGACTAAATTCCACCATCCACTGACAGCTCTGCCAATCCACTACCTCCTGCAGATTTAGGAAAAAACCAAGCATAACTTAGACTTTTCTTTATAATCCTTTTCTACCACAAGGCAGGGGTTTCACTAAGCTGCCAACATGTTGGGGGGTTGATAGGCAAGTTCAGTCCTCAGAGAGGGCACTCGTTTCTGCAAGCACAGCTGGGCTCCTTTCTAAACTGCATTTCCATTGACTTCAGTGCAAACTAAGGCTCTCGAGCACCTTGGAGGAGGGGATCCCCACTGTCACTGTCAGGGTTTTGCCGAGCACATGAGCACTGTTGCAGCAATGGCACTCGCAGTAGCATCCTCACCCAGCTCCAGCAGGAGCCATAGGCCTACAGCCAATGCAGACAACCTGAACAAGCGAATGAAACAACAGAGAGATAACTCTTTTTTTTTTTAGCTTTATAGATTCTATGGATCCCTGCAGTGTACTTAGAGGTTCCACTGAGGAATGCAACCATACAGCACACCTGCCTGATGGTTCAGTTGTCACTGAGCTTGTTGGGTCAATACAAAATCCAGCCAAATATCCTTGATCCCTTGCAAATAATCTCTACTAAAGATGAATTCCCTTATCCTCTCCCAACTTTCATCTTCACCCAATGGACATCACTGCTCTGCACTAAGACCTCGTAGTTGCCAACAGCTGCAGGGTTTTTTGTTGCTTCTCTTTGCCAACACGATGGCTCGCAGAGGAAGCGGCTCCTTCCTTCCCCCATCTTCCCCTCCTGCTGTACCCAAGAAATAACAAGGCAAAAAGAAACCACGCATGAAACTTTCCAAAGCAATCCTTGTGAAAGTTTAGGACTGTTTCTTGAGAGCATGAGCATACAGAGATAGCAGTGTCTAGGGAACACTAATGAGAACGGGATCCCTTGACAATTACTGTCAGTACCCAAATGATGACATACATTAAAAAAAAAAGAAAAAAATTAGATTATGTGGCTTGCTGTCTCTACATCACAGCAATCCTTCCCTCCATGGCCAATTTAGCCCATTGGACTCAGGGGTGACCCAGCACATCATCTTCACTGACAAGGTGTCATCTATATCATAGAGAGCAGCCCGAGGGCAGAGATTAAGTCACTGAGTCGCTGGCTGCTTGTGGTTGCTGCCAGAGCATCCTCTCTCTCAATTTGTGCCAATTTTCCTTCTAATAACCTAACTACCATTCCATCATTTCAGCAAGTTGACAGGGCCACTCTTTGAGGAGCTAGAGATTGTTTTAATATCACTGCTACTTAAGCAGGAGCACCGGAAAAAAACTAGTAGACGCCTTCTCTGTCTCTCCCATTCATATCTGTAATTACAGCAAGACTGCTAAAAGTGAACTGACCGCTAAGGAGAGAGAGGCATACTTCAGAAACAAAGTCTGCATCAAAAGGGACTCTCTTAAATTCATCACTGTTAAGAGCCTTGGCGTTAATCCACGATCATTTCCATTAATGAACTAGGTGTCAAGCCAGGTGCTGAAAAACAGCTGTTAACGGGGACCAAATGGGTTTACATGAGACCCGTTTTTCAAATCTGGTTTTGACCCTGCCCAGAACCCTTCTGACTGTTCCATTTTGATTAATCCATGTCTCAACCCTCACCCTATTTTAGTGTTTTTATCGTTTTGCTGGCGATTTGCCTTTTTCCTATTCTGTGGTATAAGACATCTGTAGGAGAACATCGAAATCCCTCTACGAGCCAACATAACAACAAGAACATGATAACGAATGGGTTCCAAGTGTAAAGACTACTAAATCCACCCCAGTGCAGAGGCATTTACAGGCGTCAGGGTTTTACAGTAATAAATACTCACATCCGAGCTGCGCAGTCCCTGCCAGGATATCACACAAGCTGACAAAAGGGACAACACCCATTTGAAGGACTCCAACTGCCATCAAGAGAGACAAGCAAGCATCACCTTACCGTACTCAAAAGATGGTAATTGCTGGTTTACGAGCAAATTTTTATCTGGGAGGACCCAAAAGGGCTTTATAAACTCATTGTTTAGCGAGGAATGACTTCATCGTAAGGTGACAGACGGCAGCTGTTTAATGACATGGAGCATTATCGCACAACAATTTCAGCCAGTAAGGGTAGGACAATACCATACCCATTTGAAAACTGCAGGGGGTTGCGATTTATAGACACAGAATGTAATTACCTAAATTGGATTTTGGCCAGCAAAATAAGGGCCAGAACCTCTGACAAACAAAGAAAGAAGCCGTTCTGTATTTTTCAGCTGTAAATGACCAGGTCTCTGTGTTTTGGGGGAAAAAAAAAAAAGTCATCT